TTATTTAGATCTTTTCCCTCAACAAAAAATGTAAAAAGGTCATTTAAAAGTATTGTATATAAGACTATGACATTAATTTTGAATGGAGAGTAAATAGCCAAATATTGGCTGAAATATAAACTACTTAGTTTCTTAATTATTGTGAAGCTATTTTTTGGCTCCATTTTCCCCACTTATTAATAATCTGATTACATATTCTATAATAGAAAAATGCAATTGGATGGACAGGAAGTCTAGAATATCCATTTCCATTGAGGAAACATTATTGGTAAACACAGATTCCCCATCTCCTCTTTCCACTCAGTGTGAACTCTGTAGGAGATACCTTCTTGCAGAAAATGAGTATCTAATCCTGTCTTGGCTGAGGAGAAAGTCAGGCTTGGGAGATAGGCAGCGGTGGAGTGAAGTCTCACTCACAACCAGAATTCAATCCCTCACCAGAGCCTTCCATGTCAGGTGACAAACCAGGGTGTGACCTAAGGGTTGAGGGCAGGTCAGAAATGTTAAGGGACACGCATTGCAGAGATAGGCCTGAGGAAATGAGCAGCAGCAACCTGGTTGAAGGTGAGGGAAAGGGAGGTGAAGATCCACCCAGTCTTTAAACTTGCATTATCTCTAAGCTGGGGACTAGCCAAAGGATCCCACAAAGGTTCTCAATGTGTTGATATCCCTGGGGGTGACTACGATGGTGCTGTAATGAGTTCAAATAGTGTTCCTGTGCCTACATTTTGAGAAGGGGTAATTTTCAAGATAATAACTGAATAGGCTCCGATAATAACAGAAGAAGGCTGTGCGGCAGGATTGCAGTATACCTCAACATATTAATCTGATTTTTCTCTGTGTAGTTCCCTTTACCTGCTCGCTCTCTCTTTGTAGCCTGAGGGTCGATTTCCCTCCCCAGCCCTATGCCAAAGCTCAGACATAGAAAGTATCACAATAACACCTGCACTTCCCACAATTCACTACAAGCAGCTCAGTGGCTCACAGTTACTCATTGGGCATCTTCCACAGGCCAGGCATTTACAGTGTGTTGTGGGGAAGTGAAAGACATTAAATGTGGCTCATGCAGTCATGGAGCTTATTATCTGAAGAGACAATACATACATTCATGAAGAATTAAGTAATAATTCAAGTGTTAGGGAATGTGAGACTTCAAGAAAATGTCTCAAAACAGTGAAAAGAACTCTTTGTAATACTTTAAGCAATAAAAAAACTGGGAAAAAAAAAACAAAAAACAACAGTGAGAAGAGAGGACATCAAAAGCTGTGAAGCAGAGGGAGGAAATCCTAGGTGCTAGGAAACCTGCAGCAAGGAGGCCAGATCCCACTTGGCCCCTGGAGAATGGAGAGGTGCCTACCTCTGAGGATGAACATCTTAGTCCACTCAGGCTGCCATAACAAAACACCACAGACTGGGTAGCTTATCAACAACGGAAGTTTTTATTCCTCACATTTCTGGAGTTTGGGATATCCAAGATCAAGGCACCAGCAGGGTTGTGTTGTGGTCAGGACCCTCTTCCTGGCTCATGTGTCCTCACATGGTAGAAGGGACAAGGGATCTTTGTGGGGTCTTTTTCAAAAGAACAGTCATCTCATTCATGAGAGCTCCATCTAAGCACCTCCCAAAGACCCCATTGTCCTAATACCATCATTTTGGGGATTAGGATTTGGGGCAAAGAGGTGGACCAAAACTTTCAAACCATAGCTGTGTAGAAAGCAGGTGTTTTTTTTTTTCTTTTTATCAAGGACTAGAGGCACGATGCACGAAATTCATGTGAGAATAGGCCTTCCTTCCCCCAGCTGCTGGCACTGGCTTCCCTCTGTCACCTGGGCCCCAGACTTCCCTCGCAGCCCCGACTTTGTCTGGTCTAATTAGCATATTATGCTTTTATTATTATAGATAAGTTTAATGATTGAAGAAAATCTGTGATCCCTCATATTTCTAGTGGAAATCTAAATTAGTACAACCTCTGAAAAGGATAATTTGGCAATATCTATAAAAATTATGACAGAGTAATTCCATTTAGAGAAATTAACCCTACACTGTATTCTCATAGGTGTAAAATGACCTATGTATAAAGGATATTCATTGCAATTTTATTTATAATAGAAAAACATTGGAAACAACCCAAACACCCATCAATAGGGAACTGATTAAATGTGCTGACACATCAAAACAATAGAATACTTTATTAGATAGCCATGTAAACAAATAAATTCTTTCTGAACTGTCATAAAAATAGATCTCCAATATATATTTATCACTTAAAAAGGAAGTTACAGAACAGTGGACAGTATGCCACTGTACACATGTTATATTAAGCATATAACATGTACACTATGAACACTTACTTTGCATACTAGGTACTTACTAGTAGTATGTATACTATGTACACTTAAAGCATATATTATGTACACTATGTA